CAGGGCCTCATTCCATGCAGCTTTGCTGAAGGCGAATGGGGACCCGAGCCCCACTGCCCACTGGACTCACAGCCAGCAGTAGACCAGGCAGAACAAAATACCACAGCAGTTCAACCACCCACTTCTTGACAGAGCCCTTCCTGCGAACCACACACTGTGCCGGATAGACACATGTCAGTGTTTGTGGTTCCTATGGCCCCAGCTGTTCAAATGCTGGTTTTGGATTGATGTGTATATTTGTATAGAAAATGATGAAAGAATTTTTCTAGAATGTTGCTCTTGGTTAAGCTGGAGGGATAAGAGTGCATGGAGTTGCCTATATTGTTGCACTTGTAACAATATGCTTTTATTATGTTTATAATTCAAAACACTGTAATAAGAAATATTTAAAAAAACATTTTCCAAATGGTACATTCTATACATGTATCTATACCCTTAAGACAGTCTGGGATTTTGGTTAAAGGCATGGGCTTTGCACTAAGACATGGGCTTGAATCCCACTTCTGCCACTTGCTAATTGTGAGACAAATGTCCAGAAGCCTCCGTTTATCCGTCTGGTTAGGGGGCGATAGCAGAGCTAGTTTGGAGGAGCAAGTGGTGTATGTGAGAATGTCTAACAGGCAGCCTGGCACCAACTTGTGCTCAGTAATGGGTAGGCCCAGGAATCACACTATTTTTGTTTCTACAGAGCTCAAAACATGTCATGGGAAAAGGGATTTAAGTTATTCAAAACATGAAATAAGAATGCATAGGTGGAAGTGGCAGGGAGAGAGCTTTCACTTCAATAAAAGGAAGACTTTTTAACCAGATATTCAACAACACGCAGCAGGCTGCTTGGGAGCAGGCGATTCTCCTGTCCCTGCAGGTGCGCCAGGAGAAGGTGGGCAGGTGCATGGGACGGACGTGGCTCGGAAATTAGGTAAGGAGACTGGGCCTGGTGCCCGTGCTGGTCACCCTCCAGTCTTCACATGAGAGAACCTGTGACAGGAATGGCCATTTGGCAGAACCCTATGTAGTCACCCTAAACCTATACTATCCAGGGAGACTGTTTTATTTTCAAGTAAGATTTTGTTTAATTTATTGTTCAGGTTAGTTTGCTTTTCTTGTCTTAATGGAATCAAGAGAAGACTGTCCCCAAGCCATGTGGCTACCAGGCAGTAAGGCCAACTCTACTTGGCCTGGACCTGCCAGTATGTAGTTACAGGAAGGCTTCTCCTCCTTGAAGACCATTTCAACCAAAAGATGGTATAAATTCCTTTTTTTTTCAAAATTTTATTATGAACCAAACTTTAAAAAGATTAAAACAATACTGTCATCTTTACTGGAACACAGCCAGAATTAACTAGAAGTAGTGAGCTTCCAGTAACTGGGGATGGACAAGTTCAGGCCAGCGGACAGGAGGAGGCATAAACCTCAGATGGGGTTTGTCACAGGAGGATTCTGACATCTTCACGACCATGGCGGGCTGGTGGGTCCACCCTCCACACATTACTTGGGTATCTGCCAAGACTTCCCTTTGTTTGTGCCATGATGTTACCCAGCTTTCTGCCTCTCATGAATGCTCAGTCCTAATGCCTCCTGAGAACAATTAAAATGCCCGTGCCCCTTGACCCAGAAATCCTGTTCGTTGGGAGTGACCTGAGGGCCATCACTGCCAAGTGGAGAAGTCATGTGCCCAGGGAAGCTCACTGCAGTAGAACGGTCAGTGTTCATGGCCCACCTGCTTGAAGGAGTTTCAAGAAGCAATACAAAACAGTGTCTATCAAAGGCACAAAGCAAGGGCCTGGTTTTGCTAATTAATAACGCTGATGATTGGTCATGTCATTCACTCATTCATTCACTCATTCATTCAATTTCATTCTTTGTCACTGATTCGCTCACACACCCACTGATTCAACAAACCCTGTGCTCCAGGCAAAGCACCAAGGACAGCATGTCCTTCTGGCCGCCGGCCTTGGGCTGGTTGTCTTAGACACCAACCCCACCCCTTAACATACACAGGTACACGCGCAAACATGCGCGCACGCTCACTCGACTGTGCACATTTGCAATGCTGAATCCTGGGCAGGAAGACTAGAGGGTCACCCCCTCTATGTCCTCGTACCACACAGGTGTGCGACCCGTCTCTGTCTCTAAACACAAAACAAGTGAGTAGCTCACATTCTGATCTTTGCTTCTTCATCTGTAAAATGGGCAAATTGCACTTTTTCCATTTAACTATCTTCCTTAATTTTGCAGGTGTTTTATCAGCCAACCTGACATGTCTTCAATTCCTGAGTTGGGGATTGGCCAAAACATCCCCAGGGACCTTCTCACCCTCCAAAATCCCCGGCGGCCTTTCTTATGTTCTGGTTCTCCTTGTGGGCCTGCGTCTACAGTGATATCCCCTCGGAGGAGATTTCCCAGCATCCCAAAAAAGGCCTTTGTTGAAATGACAATGCACTTTGCTCTCCCAGATGGGACTTTGAGTCCTGACTTCTTGTATTCTCTCTGTTCTCTCTGCCTGTCCTCAGGTAAGTCACTCAGACTTTCTGATCTTTCGTTTCCTCCTTTGTAAAATCAAGACACGAATGACATACACATAGTTCATGCCCGGCCCCCAGGGGCCACACCACCCATGTTAGCCTGTCATCAGCAAGCAGCAGGTCTGCAGGAGGACAAGGGGGCAAGAGGGGCCCAGCAGAGTTTTAAGGCCGAAAGGAAGCCCTTAGAAAGTATAGGATCTCAAGCTGGGAAAAGACCTCACGTGACCTCTGTCTTGCCCAGAGTGGCCCTGCAGCCGCCCTGTGAAATGGCCACCAACCTCTGTCTGAATGCCTCTGGTGCTGGGGGGGCCACCGCCCACTGAGTGGACCCCTGTCTCCGCACAGCAGGTCCCACCAGATTGCAATCCAGTGTCCAGTGCAACGGCCCTCACTGGTCCTTAGACTTCTGCCATTTGGGGACCAAGAGCAGACCCACCGTATTCCCCAGACCACTGCAGCCACGCACCTTTCCTCTGCACCAGAGAATCTTCCCTACGGTACCATTTTCTTTTCCATATGAGTCATGGCTTCTGCCCCCAGGACACTCTAGTTTCTCTGCTGTGAAAGCACTTCCTTACGGGCAGCCCTCTAGAGCGACTCAGAGGTGGAGAGCCGGGTCACCCGGCTGGAGCTGGCACACTCCTGCGTCTGAGGAGACCCCGCTGGTCCACAGGCAACCGTGGGTGACCAGAGGGCACACGCCTGGCTACAGTGGGCAGCTGCTCTGACAGCCTTACAGGGAGGGAGGGGCCACAAGTTCTCTCATTTCTCAAGAGAAGCCAGAGATTAAGGTTTGTATGTGAAACTTCCTGAACATTTTATGTTGGCAAGAAATTCAAACAAATGTGAAGCAGCCTATGGAGCATGAACACCGCCTGCGGCTGCTCTGCCTGTGGGCCACTTACTGAACCATTTTGCAGATGTGAAAAACTTCTGAGACTCTGATGAAACTGAGGAAACCCCAGAAAAACCAGTTACAAACAAATTTCTGCTTTCAACATTAAGGCCCCATGGGCCCCCAACAGCCACTCCTGGATCCCCTGGGAGGGAAGCCCTCATCTCTTCCAGCCTCCGGCCCCACAGAAGCCCAATAACCAACAGCCCACTTTCCCGAGGCCACACAGACGGCCCCTGAACAGCAGGGCGACCAGGAAACTAGGATGGGGTGTGGGGGCTCCCTCCCCAGGACAGAAGCAGAAGCTGCTAACATATACTGCATGCCTACAATGTACCGGACACCTCCAATATTACCTTATCGTGTCTCACCTGTCACCCTCACATGGCAGATGAAGAAACTGAGGTTCTCTGGACAGTCTCCTGATCGCGGCAGCGAGACAAGCAACAGATAGGCCCTGAAGGCCAGCCCTGCAGCAGACCTCCCGCCCTTCGCCTGTCCTGTCACGCTAGTCAGGCACGAGCCTCTGACCACGCAGAGACCTGAGCATTTAGAACTTTCCTGAACAACTTAGTGAACTAAACCAGAAGGGGCCCCAAGATGTGGCCCAAAGCCAGGGGGTCTCACAGGCAGGTGTCTGGCTTGCAAGGACTTTGCCAGGTTTATGTCGCCAGTGAGACTCAGAGGGAGGGCGGCAATGACCTGTGCAGACAGGCCCCGGCACAAGGTCCTAGGAGAGGGCAGGCAGTGGGATGGATCTGGGCGGGGGCCCCAGCACAGAGCTCCGGCGCTGGCGGAGGGGCGGCACCTTCTTCTGGGATGCCTCACCAGCCTGTTCCTGGCAGTCTCTGAGTGGGAAGAGGGGAGGCCCATTGTCCAATCAGGAGACGAATTCAAGCTCCGCCTTATAACCTGCTACCTGGTTGAATGAGAAACCCCAGCCGGCTGCAGAGCATGGCATGCAGGCAAAGGACAGAAGCGCTTCCCTGGGCTGCAGAGAGCTGAGAGAGGGATAATCAACTGCTCAGATAGGAAAGGGATCTAAATTTAGACCAAAAAGACAAAGTTCCGGAAAATTAACCCCAGTCCCTGCAAAAACGAAGGAAAAAAATTCTTCGCGCTTCCACGGTTTTTCTTCTCTCCCAACCCCCTCCCCGCCCTCCCCCAGCCACTAACTGGCTCTTACTCCAAATTTCTTCCCGAAAAGTTGAAAATGGTTGGAATATGTCAACAACTTTAAAAGTAACAACTTGGAAGTGAGGCCGGGCATCTGACAGCAGCCGCCGCCCCAGCGCCCCTGCCTCCGGGGGGTCAGCCAGACCGCCGGGACGGTGGCCGCGACTTGGCTCTGCTTGCCTCGGAAATTTAGGCAAAGCTCAGACCGGTCAGCTCGGGGTTAGGGTCTCTCGCTGAAGACCTCCGGCTCCACGCGCCAGAAGGGAGAGGGCTGAGTTTGGGGAGGGCACTCTCCCAGCCCCGCCGCGCCCGCGGCTTCGGGGGTCACGGCCAGGGGAGACAGGTGTCAGCACGAAACCCTGTGGCCCTCTGCAGCAGCCGCCCTGGAGAGAAGCGGGTCTTACCTGGTGGGAGCCGCGCAAAGGGAGGTCAGCGGGGTTTCGAGTCCTGGGTGGGATCCCCTGGAAGCAGCGTGTCCGGGAAGACGCCGGCCCAGGCAGCGCCCTCCCGAGGGGCACCTGCCAGCAACCCCAGCCACCCTCCCTCAAAGCAAGCAAACTCAATCTGTAGACAAGACCGGTGGTAAGTCTGGGGGCTTCCCCCAGGCCCGGAGTCCCAAGACAGAACTAGTTCTAAAACAAGTAACTAAATCAATGCAGTAAAAAGGGGAAGCTGGGAACTTAGCTTCTAGAAGAGGACAAGAGAACTTAAAACAGGTGTGGGAGAAGAGAAAACTAGGAAAAAGGGAGAAAAGCAGCCCAGCAGCCAGCCCAGCGGCTGCGCAAGAACAAAGCTGCGCGGCCCCCGGGTGCAAGGGGCCGGAGCGGTGGGCTTCCCCTGC